AAAAATTTACTCACGTTTCATTTGCTGCTGCTGTTGTAATTCTACCATATGCTTTTAAGTTGTTTGTTACATAAAAATAAATATTTTTTATTCGGTTTAAACGAATAGAATATACTCTGCATCACAAACAAGCGCAACAACCATTCTTCCTGCAGATTTCTTTTTTTCTATAACATTGTTCTATTCCATAGGCCAGAGCTTGTACTGGATTATATACTGATCTACAGTACAAACAATAGACCGATCTATAGTCCAGACCATAGTGTAGATTATATACTAATCTATAAACTAATGTGTAGTCTATAGACTGATCAATAGTCTAGACTATAGACTGATTTGTAGTCCAGACTATAGACTGATCTATAGTCCAGACTATAGATTGATCTATAGGCCAGACTATAGACTGATTTTTAGTCCAGACTATAGACTGATATATATTCCAGACTATAAATCTGATCTATAGTCCAGACTACAGACTGATCTATAGTCCACACTATAGACTGAGCTATAGTCCAGACTATAGACTGATCTATAGTCCAGACTATAGACTGATCTATAGTCCAGACTATAGATAGACCTATAGTCCAGACTATAGACTGATCTATAGTCCAGACTATAGACTGATCTATAGTCCAGACTATAGACTGATCTATAGTCCAGACTATAGACTGATCTATAGTCCAGACTATAGACTGATCTATACTCCAGACTATAGTCTGATCTATACTCCAAACTATAGTCTGATCTATATTCCAGACTATAGACTGATCTATAGTCCATACTATAGACTGATGTATAGTCCAGACTATAGACTGATCTATAGTGCCGACCATAGACTAATATATAGACTGATCTATAGTCCAGAGTATAGACTGATATATAGTCCAGACTATAGACTGATCTATAGTCCAAACTATAAATCTGACTGTTCTATAGTCCAGACCATAGACTGTTCTATAGTCCATACTATAGACTGTTCTATAGTCCATACTATAGACTGATCTATAGTTCAGACTATAGACTGATCTATAGTTCAGACTATAGACTGATCTATAGTTAGACTATAGACTGATCTATAGTCCAGACTATAGACTGATCTATAGTCCAGACTATATACTGAACTATAATCCGGACTATAGACTGTTCTATAGTCCAGACTATAGACTGATCTATAGTTCAGACTATAGACTGATCTATAGTTCAGACTATAGACTGAACTATAGTCCAGACTATAGATTGATCTATAGGCCAGACTATAGACTGATCTATAGTCCAGACTATAAGCTGATTTATACATAGTCTAGATTATAGACTGATCTATAGTCCATAGTATAGACAGATTTGTAGTCCAAAGACTTCTATTTTTAACTAAATTGTATTTTCAACAAAAAATTCTTTTTTCACTAAAATTTTGAGTTGAAGGCCCTTGAAATTTGATTTCAAACGACAAAGGAAACCAATTATATAGTAATTTTCTAGTGTATTTAAAAACTTACAACCCGCACTTAAAAACTTTGATACATTTCATGTACAATTTTGTTTTGGCATTATTTTAACTACATACGTTTCCAACAGGATGTTAAAAAGAAATTTAATTTTTTTTTAACCATAACCCTTGGAGACTTGTTAGCAATTTTCTACAACTTCCTCAAATAACCTTTCTGTGTCTCTATTACTTTGGTCATGTACTGTATAACTCTTAAAAAATATTTAGCTACGTTTTTTAAACTTTATTTTCTTTCCACTGGTCAAGTTCAGTGCTAAGTACTTCCGTTACTTTAGTAGTTTCCTTTACTCTTTTTTTTTCTATTTTTTTCATATTTTCTTTCTAAATAAATTTTACAAGTTTTTAAATTTAACGGACATTTAATTTCCCTTTTAAGATTTTTTACTGCTACTGGTGAGATGACTGGTTGTTGAGCCATATAAAATGAAAATTTTAAAACATATTTTAACTACATTTCATTAAAATAAATCATCAACATTATATTTATGGAAATTTTATGTTTTTGCCACCACCAACAGAAAAAGCTTAAAAGGAAGTTAAATTTAAAATAATTTGAAAAATTTTATGTTGTAACTACAAAAAAATAATTTACAAAAAACAATATCGACTTTCATGTGGTTTCTGGCCTAAAATTCCTTTAGGTTTCTTAGTTTTGTGAATATGTTTCCTTTTAAGAATTATAGACTTCCTTAGGCACCATTTTGATTTCAGAGTTTTTTTTCCTTTAAAGTGTATAGAAAACCAAATTTATGTAAAAACGGAGCAGTGATAAAACGTTTTTTCTTGGTAAAGCCTTAAAGTATGCTTTATTTAAATTACAGTTATTGTTTTTTTCCCCTGTTTGTCCAGCAATGTAAAAACATTTATTTCTTCTCTCATAAAATAAGATAAAGTGTGTTTCTTTGTTACAGGATCATTACTTAAAATCAATAAACAAGTCAAATATTTAGGTAACGTGTATAATAAAATTTCGAAAAGCTTTATAAACCAGAAGAAGTCGTATATATTTTGTTGAAATTTTTATTACACAATATTTAAAGTTTACTTAAGGAAATTTTAACTGCGCAAAGTCAAACATAAAGAAATTGAAATTATATTTTAGTGCTACCTTTTTATAGTTCAATAAATTAAGGGGATTGCATGATAATATCCCATAGATAAGTCTGTAGTCTAGAGTATAGCATAGTCTATACTTTAGACTATAGATTAGTCTCAAGTCTGGACTATAGTCTAATTTATAGTATTGACTAGTCTGTATAATAGTCTAGTCTCGAGTCTGGACTATAGTATATTCTCTAGGATGGATTATAGTCAGGTCTGGACTGTTTTATAAAATGTGGACCATAATTTGTTCTATAGTCTGAGCTATAGTGTAGTCTTCTGTCTGAACTGCAGACTGGACTACAGTCTAGTCTGAAGACTTAACTATAGTCTAGTATGTATACTGGACTTAAGTCTAGTCTATAAGCTGGACTTTAGTCTAGCCTTTAAGCTGGACCTTAGTCTAGTCTAGTCTATATTATGGTTTAGAGTCTTTATAGTGTTTTCTATAGTCTGGACTAAAGTGTAGTCTATATGTTGGTCTATGGTTTAGACTACAGTCTTGCATTTAGCTTTGTCTATAGACCCCTTTGAATTCTGTACAACAGACCCGTTTATAATCTGGACTATGGATCAGTACAGTACAGAGAGACTAGTATATTATTAGTCTATAGTCTGGTGTGTAGTTTGAGCTATAGTGTAGTCTATAAACTGGAATATAGTCTAATCTAAATTCTGAACTATAGTCAAACATGGGCTACTGTTTACTCACTTGACTAGATTACAGCCTGTAGATTATACTACAGTCTAGTGAATAGTCTGATCTATAGTCTTTACTATAGTATTGACTATAGTATTGACTATAGTTTGGTTTATAGATTCTAGTGTAGTCTACATGTTGACCTATTGTCTAATCTATATTTGATACTACAGTCTAGGCAATAGCTTATAGTTCAAGCTTCATTGTAGTTTAGAGATTAGTTTATAGTCTGGACTATGAATCAGTCTAAACTAGACTACAAAACTATTAATACTTATATTATTTTAGTTAGTCTAGCCATTTCTTTTTCTGTCCTGTAGTCTAGACTAAACTGTATTGTCTTCTAGACTGGATTATAGTCTAGTCAGATCTACACTCTGAATTAAAATCTAGTATATAGTCCTGAGTAGAGTATAGACTATAGTGTTTACTGTAGTCTGAACTTATAGGACAGTCTATAGTCTGGACTCTAGCCAAGTCTATAGTCTGGACACTAGTCAAGTCTATAGTCTGGACACTAGCCAAGTCTATATGGTCTAGTCTATTGTCACCTGTATATTGCCTATTGTGCAATCTATAGTCTGAATTATAGTGTAGTCTATATGTTGGTCTATTGTCTAGTCTATGGTTTTGACTACAGTCTAGCATATACCTTTGACTATAGACCCTTTTCTATTCTGTACAATAGACCAGGTTATAGTCTAGACTATAAACAGAATAGTGCGATAAGTATATTATTAGTCTATAGTCTGGTCTATAGTTTGGGTTATAGTGTAGTATATAAACTGGGATTTAGTCTAGTCTATATTCTGAACTATAGTCTAACATGGACTATTATGTACTCTGTATACTGGATTACAGTCTAGTCTGTAGGTTAGACTATAGTCTAGTCAATAGTCTTGACTCTAGTCTGGTCAATAGTATTGACTATAAACTGGATTACAGTCTAGTCTGTAGGTTAGGCTATAGTCTAGTTAATAGTCTTGACTCTAGTCTGGTCTATAGTATGGACTATAGCCTGGTTTATAGTCTCGACTATGGATCAGTCTAAGATAGACTACAGAACTATTAATAGTTTTAGTTAGTCTAGCCTTTTTTCTGTCCTATAATCTGGATTAAACTGGATTGTGTTCTAGGCTGGATTATAGTCTAGTCTACACTCTGAATTATAATCTAGTATATAGTGCGGACTAGAGTTAAGACTATAGTTCTGACTATAGTGTTTTCTGTAGTCTGGACTTATAGGACAGTCTATAGTATGGAATCTAGCAAGTGTATGGTATTTTCTATTGTGGACTGAAGCCAAGTCTATAGTCTTTACTATAGTATGATGTCCAGTGTAATCTATAGACTGGACTAAACATTTCGATACAATAGTCTTATATGTATACATATGAATTTACATATGTACATATGTAAATTCCCTCATATCAGCTTGAAGTCCTTCCTGTTGTGTTATTTATTAAATTAAATTCTCATACAAAACATTCTACATTTAAAGGAATATTTCCCATTTTAAATCAGTGTTTAAAAATTATTAAAAAAAATACAAAACAACCTAAATGCTTTTATCCTCTTAAAAGAAAAGAAAAAGGAAATTTAAGAAAATATTTTCCTTAAAAAAAAACCAACTCTAAATATTTCTTTTAGAAAAATAATCCTACAATAATCAAAATACAAAAACCAAATATAAAAATAATTGTTGAAAAAAAAAAGAAATAAATAAACTTATATATTTTGAAAAACTAAAAACTTATTTAACAGATTTTTAAAACAAAAGAATAATAAAAAATCAATTATATTTATGATAATGGTATTTAAATGTACAAAATAAATTGATAAATTAAATATTAACTATATATGGAAAATTAAAACAAAAAAAAAAAACAAGAATAATTTGCAACAAAAGTGCTTCTACATTATTTATATATAAAAACCTACAACTATACAGTAACATTTATATAAAATATATATTTAAATAAAAGTTGATTTTAAATATTTATAAACTGTTAATAGAATTACAGCGTACAAAAAAGCTAACAACAAAATTACAGCTTTTTTTCCATTTTTAGTAGAAATAACAGCAACAAAAAAACTGCAAAAGTTAATTTACTCAAATAAATACAATTGTGGTTTTAAATATTCTACAAAAAAAAATCAAATAAAATATAAAACAAAAAAAACCTAAAATTACTAAAATAAATTAAATCCTATTTAAATAATAAAAATAATTAAAATTAAACAAAAAAAAAAAAACAATATTATTATAAATTATAATTAATTATATAAATAAAACAATATTTACAAACAAACTACAACAAAATAAATAAATATAAAACTAATAAGCTTCCACACGCATACACTCAAATTAACTAATATAAATGTTTTAAAAATTATTACTAAATATAAAAGAATATAAATGAATAACAAAAACCAAAAAAAAAAATCAAATACAAAAATTATAAACAATTAAAGTTACTATTTTATGAAAAAAATATCAAAAAATATTATTAAAATAAAATCAAATAGTAGAAGAACCTAAATATCAAAAACAACTATTTTTGTGTCAATATTTTATTCCAAATCTAAGCAAAGATCTTAAAAAAGACATAAAAATAAATAAATAAAAAAAATATATATATATTTTTTAAAACTAATATATTTTAAACTAAATGTTACACTATCAGCAAAACGAACAATATCCACAATTGTTACCCTCAAATCGACAACAACAACAACAGCAGCAGCAACAAGTTCCAGTTTTAAAAGTCTATTATTTACGTTTAAATTCTAAAGAAGACGGCTCTAAGGCAGCCGCCTGTCTATTCGACAACAACAATAGCAGCAGCAACAGTAGTCGAAATACGAATACAACAATGAAAACTTTAGCACCCAATATACGACGGCGACGTCGTTGTGATCGTCATCATTTAGAATTATATCATGGTGGTGAGGGTGGCCATAAGGCTTCTTCCTCATCGACTTCATCACCCACCACGGAATTTCCTCCAAAATCAAAATCGGCTTCAACATCACCTATTAGTGATTTGGGTATACCGGCTCCACCCATTACACCGCCGCCCGCTTTCCTTTCGGAAGGCTATCGACGTTCGACCACACCCAGCAAGAGTGCAGCAGTTAAGAGGTCTTTAGGTGAGAAGAATGAAATGAAATCTTTATTACGAAATCGTTTTATAGACTGGAATTACAAAATCCGATCAGATAAGAGGAACTATAGATCATTCTATAGTGTGGAGAATAGATTTGTCTATAGTCTGGCCTACAGATGAGTCTATAGCATGGACTAGATCAATATGCTGGATTATGGGACAACAATCTGTATTACAGATCTGTCTATAGTTTGGCTATAGTCCGCACTATAGATCAGTATCTGTATCTGGACTATAGATCTTAAATCTGGCCTATAGAAGAATTTATGGACATTAGTATTGCTCAATCTGATGTCTAAACAATAGGCCCACATTTCTAAACTATATACTACATTCTGCACAATAATTAGTTTATTGTCTCTAGTCCATACTATAGATCAATCTATTCTTAAGACTATACGTCAGTCTACACTTTACTTAAGATGAGCCTATATTCCGGACATTGATCAGTGTTTAGACTAAGGACTAGTTTAGTCCACAATTTTAACAAACGATCAGTCTATAGTCTGAACTTTATATCAGTCTATAATCTAGACTTTAAATATGTATATAGTCTGGACTAAATACCTTTAGATCAGTCTATAGTTAGTCTATATTCGGGACTATAGATCAGTCTATATTCGGGACTATAGATCAGTCTATAGTCTGGACTATAGAGCAGTCTATAGTCTGGACTATAGAGCAATCTATAGTCTGGACTATAGATCAGTCTATAGTCTGGACTATAGATTAGTCTATAGTCTGGACTATAGATTAGTCTATAGTCTGGACTATAGATTAGTCTATAGTCTGGACTATAGATTAGTCTATAGTCTGGACTATAGATTAGTCTATAGTCTGGACTATAGATTAGTCTATAGTCTGGACTATAGATTAGTCTATAGTCTGGACTATAGATTAGTCTATAGTCTGGACTATAGATTAGTCTATAGTCTGGACTATAGATTAGTCTATAGTCTGGACTATAGATTAGTCTATAGTCTGGACTATAGATTAGTCTATAGTCTGGACTATAGATTAGTCTATAGTCTGGACTATAGATTAGTCTATAGTCTGGACTATAGATTAGTCTATAGTCTGGACTATAGATTAGTCTATAGTCTGGACTATAGATTAGTCTATAGTCTGGACTATAGATTAGTCTATAGTCTGGACTATAGATTAGTCTATAGTCTGGACTATAGATTAGTCTATAGTGTGGACTATAGATCAATCTATAGTCTGGAGTATAGATCAATCTATAGTCCAGACTATAGACTATAGATCAATCTATAGTCTGGAGTATAGATTAGTCTATAGTCTGGACTATAGATTAGTCTATAGCTTGGACTATAGATCAATTTATAGTCTGGACTATAGATCAATCTATAGTCTGGACTATAGATCAATCTATAGTCTGGACTATAGATCAATCTATAGTCTGGACTATAGATCAATCTATAGTCTGGACTATAGATCAATCTATAGTCTGGACTATAGATCAATCTATAGTCTGGACTATAGATCAATCTATAGTCTGGACTATAGATCAATCTATAGTCTGGACTATAGATCAATCTATAGTCTGGACTTTAGATCAATCTATAGTCTGGACTATAGATCAATCTATAGTCTGGACTATAGATCAATCTATAGTCTGGACTATAGATCAATCTATAGTCTGGACTATAGATCAATCTATAGTCTGGACTATAGATCAATCTATAGTCTGGACTATAGATCAATCTATAGTCTGGACTATAGATCAATCTATAGTCTGGACTATAGATCAATCTATAGTCTGGACTATAGATCAGTCTATAGTCTGGACTATAGATCAGTCTATAGTCTGGACTATAGATCAATCTATAGTCTGGACTATAGATCAATCTATAGTCTGGACTATAGATCAATCTATAGTCTGGACTATAGATCAATCTATAGTCTGGACTATAGATCAATCTATAGTCTGGACTATAGATCAATCTATAGTCTGGACTATAGATCAATCTATAGTCTGGACTATAGATCAATCTATAGTCTGGACTATAGATCAATCTATAGTCTGGACTATAGATCAATCTATAGTCTGGACTATAGATCAATCTATAGTCTGGACTATAGATCAATCTAAAGTCTGGACTATAGATCAAATTAAAGTCTGGACTATAGATCATTCTAAAGTCTGGACTATAGATCAATCTAAAGTCTGGACTATAGATCAGTCTATAGTCTGGACTATAGATCAGTCTATAGTTTGGACTATAGATCAGTCAATAGTCTGGTCTATAGATCACTCTATAGCCTGGACTATAGATCAGTCTATAGTTTGGACTATAGATCAGTCTATAGTCTGGACTATAGATCAATCTATAGTCTGGACTATAGATCAATCTATAGTTTGGACGATAGATTAGTCTATAGTTTGGACTGTAGATCAGTCTATAGTTTAGACTGTGGATCGGTCTATAGGCTGGACTATAGATCAGTCTATAGTCTGGACTATAGATCAGTCTATAGTCTGGACTATAGATCAGTCTATAGTTTGGACTGAGGATCAGTCTAAAGTCTGGACTATAGATCAGTCTATAGACTCGACTATAGATCAGTCTATTGTCTTTATTGATTTACTATTTAAAGTCTGAACTCTGTCTCACTCTTTATTGTTCATCCTCTCAGCTGGAGATTTTACAATAGTGTATTTGTTTAATCAAAACTGCTCCTACGTAAATGTATAAGAACTCCATATTCACTTGCCTTTTGCAGCTGTATCAATATTAAAATCTTTCAAACTGTTATTGGCAATACAAAAACAGCATGTTGTCAATTGTCAATAGCATCAAAAACTCTACAACAATTACTTGACAACCTGCTGACAGTTGACATTTGTAATTAATTCTGATAGGTGTCGTCCAAAATTTTACATAACCTCTACGCAACAAGTATAATTTCGCTTTTGTAAAATTGATTAGATGTATGACATCAATCATTTAAACTTTTTTTCAGTAAAATTTTGATACCTATAATTTCTATCCTCATTGCTGTGCTACTCACAAATCAATTATGACTTTTTCTTGACAAGTTTTATGAGTTTTTTTTTTCCATATTAAATAAAAAACCCAAAAAAATAACGAAAAAAACATAGTATATTTGAAATAATAATGAATGACATTTATTGTTAACATCATCATCGTTTGACAACTTTGTAATACATTTTATACAAAATGTTTTGGTACCCATATGTGTATGCTACACATTTTTTTTACAATATTTCAATTATTTTTCTTTGCTGATGTTGTTGTATACTCTACAAACTGTTACTTTTAAATTGTTTTGTATAGTATTTACTAACGGGATGCTGGAACAATAGCAGGGTTTCTAAATTATAAAGGCAATAATAGTTAGAAAGTCCATGGTCCTTCGAGCCAACTAATGTTGAATGTTACCAAAGAAAAATAACAAAATAGTCATTAATATAAATAATAAGTAAAACATATTTATTAGCGTTTGGTACTGCCCTAATAACCATATGTATCTTTTGATAACTATATATTTATTTTGTACATGTAGCCTAAAGTTATGCTTCAGTTGTCAACCAGTTTGTGCATAAAATTTTTTTGTTACGACTTGCTTTGTTCTTTCAAAAAAAGGAAAACTTATTGATTTTTTTTTGCTATTGTTGATCAAGTTAAATGTTTACAGCATCAATCATATACAGTTTTGGATGTACAGTTAGTTGTTGTGTTATTTGAGCAAAAAGAATATACATATACAATTTGTATTGCATACTTTTTAGCTGTTTGTTTTTTTTTTTAATACAATTTCTGCCTAATTGTGGTTATAAAAAACTCAAAATTTTTTACCAAACAATTTTTTAATTGATTTACAGTTTGATAGAGATATCGTTAAGTAATTTTAAGCTAGTTTTAGTTAAAGCCTAAGAATAGGCAATATTTGTGTTATGTTTTAAATATAAAGGTTTTATTAAAATCCTAAAAAAATTGTCTAAAAAATTCTCATTTAAAACTTTTTACCAGCAAAAATAGATGTATTTTTAATTGCCCTTTTAAAACAATTTTTTCCTCAAATTGATCTCTTTTTTTACTATAATATTGTTGCCATTTTATTTATTTTCTATTTGTTAGATTTAATAACAATTAGTTCTTATTTTTATATTTAAACAATTTTTATACAAACAACACTCACTCTATTAAATTAGTTTATTTCTATTCTATTCAAACATTTGTTTTGCAACCATTTTATTGCTGTTATGGCTCTTGCAACAATAAAATAGAATTTTATTGAATCATTGCGCCTGCTGGTATGCTAAACAAATTTTATTTCTATTGTATTTCTATCGACAAAATAGTTTTTTAATATAAATAAAACATGTTGTTAGAGAAATGGCTTTTGTTTTAATTAAAATTTCATCTAAAAAAAGAAAAATCTTTGAAAGATTGCCTTCAATGTTTCACAAATAAAATATTTAAATTCAAATGTTATAATAAACAAATTTAAAGCATAATTTAAGGTGATTTTTTAGGTAAAATATCATTTGGGGAAATTTATAGTCTACTTTTAGGAGGTAAGGTTAAGAGTTTTCGCAGTATTTTTAAAGGTATTGATTAGCTTAGGTAGTATTACAAGTGGCCAGGAAATTCAGCATATTTTTAGGAGTTTTTCTACTTTTTTTGTAGTGCAGACCTTGCGTTATTAATCGTCTACTATGTGTGTTAGAATACTTATTCTGGAAAACATCTTAGATTGCGGTATCCGAAATAGGATGGATGCGTTACTAGCCTCAGAAGATTGTCACAACCTTTGGAAACTGTTATAGCTAATAATGGCCATAAACGTTTCTAAGTAAAAGCTAAACATTTTGTATTTGTAAATAATTACAGCATACTTTAAGGCATTAAAAGTTTTTTATAACTAACAGACTACTTAATAATTAGAGTTTCTCATTGTTGTCCCCTATATCAGTCTCTTTAACATATTGTTGTT